CCGAGTCCTCAGCAGGGACTTGAACGCAGAAGATCTGAGATACGCCATCTTAAGAATGCTGCTTGAGGAGCAAAGAAAGAAGGTTAATACTTGGGAAGAAGTCCGGCCGGTTCAGCTAATCGGGACTAGTGCTGATTATATAATAGATGCATAATCCTGCCAGCTCTCGGCATAAGCACAAGATGCTTCACACCACAGCTAGGAATTGCACAGTACCAGCGAAAGTAGAAAGAAGATTATAATAACCTTATTATCTTAAGATGTTGAAAATATGTCGGTCAGGAAAATGGGAACAGCAAAGCAGCCATCCGCATATCTTGATCATGCTTCCTGTTAGTCTCCTATCCAGAACTTTCAAGAGTCCTGAGCTGTAGAACCAAAGAAAGATGGAAGTGTGCATTGCAACAGCTTATACTATATGGTACTGATGTATATAGCAGACCTATTGTTCTGATCAAAGCCTAAGCTATGTACATACCATTTGAACAAGTCTCTAGACATGAAGGTGTCTATAGCCTCATTACACAAGAGTCTCTGCCCTATCTGGGAAATTTGAAGTGATTTATGTGTACATGACAGACTAAGATGTTCTCTAGTCCATTAGAGAAAAGATAGACTGTTTCATCTGGGTGGTGTTACTCTAGACGAACTAGGCTATAACGATCGTCCGGTAACCATTCGTGACGGGATATATGGGCCCGCAGTGTCTCTACGGCCAAGTGTGACTCATTGCCCTGGTCCAGAGATTGATTTTACCACCTACGGCTATCTAACAGGTAGTAATTATTTTACATTCAAACTTGCTCTCAATTCCTCTCGGTAGCAATCCGTAACATCTACACTACAGCGAAAGCAGGGCGTCACTCGTCCGAAACGATCGATAGATGACCTGGCCACTGATGTTCGTTCTGCGAAATTGCTCTAGCGCCACTTCAATTTCCTGGGGAAAGCTATTCGTACTACTGTCTATTCTTAGCTGCAGTAGTGGGGTATTAAGGAAGCTCTAGACAACCTTGGCTGCTCTCAGCCCTTTTAGTATTGCGCCCAATCGATGCTTGAATATTAGGGTTTAGAGACAAAACCGAACTAGTAGTGAGACCGAGCTGGTATAACCGTCAACAGCTAACGAAATATACAATTATACTTTATCTGATTGTAATGTCAGCTGGAAATATGCAGAACTGGGGAGCGGAGATTGAAGCAATTGGAGCATCTTGACAGACAAGTAGTAGCTACTAGGTCTACTCTAGAGACAGGCGATAGTTAATTCATGAAAGTGCTAATATTTCATATGATGCTCCACTGGCCGATGATAGCCTTCTTACTCAGTACGTAATTTAGGACAGGAAAGTGATGGTGGTCAATTAAGATGACGAATTTGGCTTCAAGGGTAGAAACATATAATTACTTCAGGGCGTGCGATCCTTTCTCTGTTTTACAGAATTGAATTAGTTGAGCAGCAAAATAAGCTGACAGGATATTCCAAAATTAATTATACTGTTCTGCTTAGCTCGCATATATTCATATGCGCTCAACAATACACAAGAACTGACTTTGTGGGAGTTCAGACAAAATCAGGAACCAGTGCCCTTCCCCGGATCCATATCGGAGGGCTTGTATTAGCCGTCGGGGAAATGACGCACGTGACTACAGAGATATCCCCTCTACTGCCCTGTTCTTTGCAAGTCAAAAGGTACTGATTCTGGTCAATGTATGGAATTGGAGGAAGGTATGATCTAGCTATTGGATCTGTCCCCTCCAATGCTATCCAGGACTCACAGCAAGCATAGTTACCCCGAGTATTGCAGTGAGTCATTATTCACGGAGATTACTTATCGGACGAAGCGATAATGACTTCCCTATCGATGCAGGGCGATCCACAGTCGCTGATTGGCTCGTCGATAAAATCGTTACGTAAGGCACTAGCTCCGACTCCGGATGAGTCAACGACCTGCATCGACCGCCTGAATGAGCCATCGCGAAAACTGATCTTCCCCAGCGATCTTTTTTCTTTCCCAAGTCTCTTCTTTCATCCTTCTTTGCTGCCCAACAACTACTTCTCCCGCCGGTCTATCCGATTTCCCCTACCAATCCCCTTCACACAACCACAATGGCCTCTGAAAAGCCCCGTGTCTGTCTGGCCTACTCCGGTATGTTCTCGCCCGCCCGACCCCGCAATATTGCGGTCTTGATAAGGCTCGGTGCACTAACTCGACAATTTCCATTGCAGGCGGTCTTGACACCAGCTGCATTCTGCGCTGGCTCATCGGTACATTTTTCTCCCTTTTTCCGGTCGAAATTCGATCGACTCGACTAACAATCGCTCGCAGAGGAGGGCTACGATGTCGTCTGCTTCCTCGGCAATGTCGGCCAGGAGGAGGACTGGGCCGCTGTCGAGGCCAAGGCTCTCAAGATCGGTGCGAAGAAGATGATCATCGAGGACTTGCGCCGTGAATTCATCACCGAGCTTTGCTTCCCCGCCATCCGTAAGACTGCTAGTCCGGCTACATGCCCCGATCAGTCCGCTAATCTCACATCGCAGAGTGCAATGCCATCTACGAGGGTCGCTACCTTCTCGGTACCAGCTTGGCTCGCCCCGTGATTGCCCGCGCTCAGATGCGCGCTGCTCAGCGCGAAGGCTGCCAGTTCGTCTCCCACGGTGCCACCGGCAAGGGTAACGACCAGGTCCGTTTCGAACTCGCCTTCTACGCCATCCAGCCCTCCATCAAGGTCATTGCCCCCTGGCGTGACCCTAAGTTCTTCAAGCGTTTCGCTGGTCGCAATGATCTGCTTGACTACGCCGCCCAGACCGGCATCCCCGTTACTTCCACCAAGGTGAGTGGCTTCTATACGATTTTGATTGAATACAGGCTAATATAGTACGATATAGGCTAAGCCCTGGTCCATGGGTTCGTCAAATTGCTCTTCCGCGTGTAATTGCTCTAAGTGTACTAATTATTGGTATAGACGCCAACTCCGCCCACTGCAGTTACGAGGCTGGTAAGTGAACCATTGGCATTAGTTTACTTATCATTTTACTGACCAGTCGATAGGTGTCCTGGAGGACCCCAACCACACTCCCCCCGCTGACATGTGGACCATGACCGCCGACCCTATCACCGCTCCCAACGAGCCCACCGACCTCACCATCCACTTCGAGCAGGGTGTTCCCACCAAGCTTGTCACTCCCGAGAAGGAGTACACCGACCCCGTTGAGCTTTTCTACACCCTCAACAAGATCGGTTTCACCCACGGTGTTGGCCGTATTGACATTGTCGAGAACCGTTTCATCGGTCTCAAGAGCCGTGGCTGCTACGACTGTATGTGTCTTGCACCCCACACTGCACTTCCAGTTAGGACTTGCTAACATGCTGCAGCCCCCGCCATGACCATCCTCCGCGATGCCCACCTTGACCTCGAGGGTCTGGTCCTGGACGGCCAGGTCCGCGCCCTGCGTGACCAGTTCGTCACCCACAACTGGTCCATCCAGCTCTACAACGGATAGTACGTGTTCTACAGTCTTGGACTATATAACATATATTCTAACCCTCCCACAGCTACTTCAGCCCTGAGCGTGAGTTCATCGAGAACAGTCTGAAGTTCTCCCAGCGCGTAAGTGCCCATAAAACCAAATAGCTCGACGGTATTATCTAACAAACTTGATAGCGCGTCAACGGTGAGGTCCGTCTCCGCTGCTACAAGGGCCACGTCTACATCCTCGGTCGCTCTTCCAGCACCGAGAAGCTCTACTCCGAGCAGGAGGCCTCCATGGACTCCCTGGACGACTTTGAGCCCACCGACACCACCGGTTTCGTTGCCATCCAGACTATCCGGTATGACCCTACTTCTTTTCGTTCCCAAAATGAAAAAAGAGCTAACATTCTCCGTCAAACAGTCTGAAGAAGTACGGTCTCCAGAAGGCCGAGGAGGGCGAGTCCCTCAGCCGTGCATGAATTATGAATGAGCGTTATTGAGTCATGGGTGTATGGGGAAACAAAAAGTAAATAGATCACATAATACCAAAGGATTATTCAAGGCAATTTATCACTACGTATTACTGTAGGCAACGAAGCCCATGACGTGTAACTGTTTCCCAAGCCAAATACCGAACCATATCCCCAAAAAGTCAATCAACAAAATCAAATCGAATCAAACCCCCTCTAACAATAGTTTAGGATTCAAACAGAGCATTAACTAACCCCCTCCACTCCACCCAAGCTTGTTTGTTCCTAGGACGACCACCTACCTAGTACCTCCCTGAAGACAATCCCATCCCATTCCTACTTCCCTGTCCTCGCAAACCTTGCCAGTTGCCACGCAGGTACCCACCCCTACTGACGATGCCTCCTGATCAAAACCTACCCAATCACATTCCCTATATCCATCCGACTGACAAAATTCCCTTCAAGAGACTTTCGGCTGACAGGGTATCCAACCATCCATCCATCCGTCCATCCGTTCCTAATGGGCGCGGGACGATGTGGAATGCCAGAGCCGACGGGGCCAGCATTCCGGACATACCTATTGTTGTTGCCCTGTTGATAGACTAGTATTCCACGGGCAAAATATGAAACGCAGGGATCCCTTCATTCTTGAGAAAAATTCTACTTTGGGAGGTTGATGGTGAGAGTGTTGGGAGGGTTGGATCGGAGAAAGGTTTTGGCTGTCGTTGCCAGGAGCCACGATGGCGAGTACGACGATGGTCATGTCAAGGCTTATTATTCACCTGGGGGATATGTTGGAATGCATCGTCACCCCGGGGAATAGGCGGTTATCAGTGGGCTGTGTGCATACCTTGGGGAGAGTTTGGTTGCTGGTTGGGAGGTGATAGTGGCGCTGCTGGGGGATATAAAGATGGTGGATTTTTTTCTGTATCAGCTTCATCATGCATTAATTGTCTTTACTTTGTCTACCTCGAGACATAATTATCTCCTATATATCTCTGGATATACCATATTAGGAACTTCTTGTACAACTATTGAATCAGTGAAGACACCAAAATGAAATCCGCTCTCCTCGCCTACGGCCTTCTGGCCTCAAGCGTCTCAGCACACATCCAGATGTCCAACCCCTACCCGATCCGCAGCCCGCTCGACCCAAACGGTGATGAATCCAAAAAGGACTACTCATACACGAACCCCCTCGACTCCAGCGGCAGCGACTACCCCTGCAAAGGCTATGCCAATGACCCCTTCCGGTCCGTAGCGACCTACAGTCCCGGCGGCACCTACGAGATGGACCTCCAAGGCAGCGCGACCCACGACGGCGGGTCATGCCAGATCTCGCTGTCGTACGACACAGGAAAATCCTTCCAGGTGATTCACTCCATGCTGGGCGGATGTCCTCTCACGGAATCGTACGAGTTCACGATCCCGTCAGATGCACCGACAGGCGATGCGCTGCTCACTTGGACGTGGTTCAATAAGGTCGGGAACCGGGAGATGTATATGAACTGTGCGCAGGTTACTATTGGGGACGGTGATAGTAAGAAGAGGGACGTGGAGGAGATGCGGAAGCGAGATGCATTTAGTTCGCTGCCGCCGATCTTCATCGCCAATGTTAATGGGCCCGGGCAGTGCACGACTATCGAGAATTATGATGTCAACTTCCCCCTGCCGGGACCTTCGGTTGAGGGCAGTATCAATGGCAGCAACACCGGGTTTACTTGCACTGGTGATGCGCCCTTCTTGGATGCGGGTAACAGTGGCTCGAGTGGTAGCTCCGGCTCTAGCTCTAGCTCTGTCAAAGATGCCCCTGTGTCTACCCCCAAGCCGACTGCGTCCAGGCCGACTGTGTCTACCTCCCACGTTGCTGCTCAAGTTGTTGGCAGTACACCCGCGGCCTCCTCGTCCGCTAAGGTGGTTGCCTCGTCGTTTGGAACAGAGGCTGCGCGCGTTGCGACCGTCCCCACCGGGGTCTCGCACTCGCAGAACGATGCTAGTGTCGCTGGCGCTGCTGACGATGAGAGTGCCCGGTACGTTCCTGGCAAGCCTTGCGTCGATGGGGCTATCATCTGTGGCCCTGAGGGTACTAGCTGGTCGATGTGCAGCAATGGACGTCCTATCCATATGGGATCTGTTGCGGCGGGAATGTACTGCTCTCATGGAGCGATGCATCGGTTGTAAAGAATTGGGTGTATATGGTGGTCAGTGAAAGTTATGGCATCGTTTGTATTATGATATGTTCGGCTTCTTCCTTCGTTCTCTTGGATAATGCGCGTTGATGACCGGGCGGATGTGTTTACTTCAGCGGCTCATTTGTTCTCCATGTATCTTAGTCGTGTCATGTTTGAGTAGCCTATGCAGTGTTACCTTTGAAATAAAATTAAATCACCTCAGATGATATGTCAGAAGTAGACTGGATGAACGATGGGCTTTCAAAGTGAGTACTAGATGCAGTGACAGAAGTCTGTTGTGCTTTGTGCGACGTATTGATAATAGGCATAAAATGCCGGAATGTCAGTGATTTGTTGCCTGTGAACCCATCTCCGTAAGCAATAACGACAGAGGAATATGACATGCAATGTTGTCCAGAAGCTGTCAGGTCGATCTTGTCTCAAAGCCAAGGTGTTGAAGCTAAATAGAAAAGAGCGTAGAGTGCAGACTTGGGGAGAAGACACCCATGTCACAAGTAGTTCCTTTTAAGGAAGGTCCGGCCAGCAGCGGTTAGTCCGGTGTGGGTAGGTGAGAAACATGCATGTCCTTTGAGGTTGCAGTCGGTCTCGTCCCTTAGCTTGTGAGGGGCTAGGTGCGGCATGGCCACGCATGGTGAAGAACCCTTGTTCGGACGCGATCAATAAATATCGGTGCCCTCATACGTGAATTCAATACTGGGATGGTGAGTAATTCATCGTCAATTCTAAATTCTATCCCGCCGTCTATATACCAATGTAGCAGGTATCAATATAAGAAACAACACAGATATAAATGTCCCGGGATCCAATAGCATAAAGCATGTCACATCACAAGTAGAATATATGCACAGGCCGAGAAACGGTAATTAACTTTTAGTGTAGATCGTTTTAGGGACACTCGCGCACCACTTTAAGCCTGAGCAACCACGGCTTCCAGAGCCTGCTCCAGAATCTTGAGGCCGGACTTGATCTGCTCCTCGGTAATGGTCAAAGGAGGAACAAAGCGGATGCAGCCCTCGCCTGCCGTGATGATCAGCATGCCGCGCTCCCGGGCAGCACCAACCAAATCGCCGGCCTTGGAGACAAACTCCGGGGAGAGCTGGACACCACGGATCAGTCCGCGTCCGCGGATCTCCGAGATGACGTTGGGGTACTTTTTCTGGAGATCCTTGAATCCAGATACAAGCAGGTCTCCCTTGGTCTCAACAGACTTCTGCAGCTCGGGGTCCGCCAGACGGTTGACAATGTGGTGAGCGACACGGCACACCAGGGGGTTACCACCATAGGTGGTACCGTGGTCACCGGGCTTGATGTGTTTGGCCACGGCCTTCTCGGAGACAATAGTAGCACCAATAGGGATACCGTTACCCAGGGCCTTGGCAGAAGTCAGGATGTCGGGGTGAGCTGCCTCGCCAGAAGCAGGTGCGAGAGATGGGTGGGCGTGAGCCCAGAAGGAGCCAGTCCGGGAGAGACCGCACTGGATCTCGTCGAAGATCAAAACGGCACCAACCTCGTCACAGCGCTTGCGCAGAGCGACGAGGAACTCCGGGGTAGCCACATTGATACCTCCCTCACCCTGGATGGGCTCGACGATCACACCACAAGTCTTCTCGGTGACGAGAGTCTCGAGCTGAGCCACATCGTTGTAGTTGCCGTACTTGAAGCCAGGCAGCATGGGAGAGAAGGGAGTCTGGTACTTGGGGTTCGGGGTTGCAGACAGAGCGCCCATGGTGCGGCCATGGAAGGAGTTGTGGAAGGAGACGACTTCGTGCTTCGCGCCGGAGGGGTCGAGCGAACGACCGACCTTGCGAGCAAACTTGATGGCGGCCTCGTTGGCCTCGGTTCCGGAGTTGCAAATGAAGACCTGGGAAGCATCGCGCATGGCACCGGACTCCTTAGTAACGTCGATCAAGAGCTTGCTGAGAGCTCCGGTCCACGCATTGTAGTAGAGGTTCGAGGCGTGGACAAGCACCTCGGCTTGCTCAGCGATAATCTGGGCCACCTCGGGGTCACAGTGTCCCAGAGAGTTGACTGCGATACCAGCCGTCAAGTCCAGGTATTTCCGGTTCTCCATATCCCACAAGTAACATCCCTGGCCCTTGACCATGACCGGCGCCGGCCGCACGTAGGTCGGCAACATGTAGGGAGATTGATCATTGACGAAAGCCACGGATACGGAGTCAGCAGCAGGATCGGGGTTGGGCACGGCAGCTTTGTTCTGAGACTTCACATGTTGCGAGATGGAGAAGAATCGCTGCTGGGGCAGTGAGTCAATGCTGGGGACGAGCCGACGGGCGACGGGCAACCGCCGGGCGGCGAGACGTGCGAACGCCATCGAATTGAAGGAATTAGGGTTGGGAGATGGGGGAATGGATAGAAGATGAGGAAGGTAAGGACAGGCGACGCCAGCGAAGGGACCTGAATATCAGTAGATGATCAGGCAGCTGGAATTGACGTTGGGAGCAAGAAGGTGCAGACCCAAGATTGGGAACTGTTGACTTTCTGCTGTATCTCATGCGGCATCGGCGCTGCCGGATCAGGTGACTGGCAGCCATGTGACTCATGCTCCGCTTTTAATAGATTGATAACAGTCACATAGCGGGTCTATGATTGACACAGTAGAATTAGTTGTCTTAAATTCTCAAGTCTTCATCTAGACTAGGCTTGGCCTTGAACACCAGACACAAGTAAAGTAGACAGTTTATTCCCATTTACTGTCAGGCATGGGAGAATACACCTCAAACTTACCCCCAAACCGCAACCAATTTTCTCCGCACTCTAGGCACTTTCTCATCAAATGCACTTGAAACACCCCCACGGACTTTGAGAACCAATTTCACCAATCCAGACCTCTGACACTCAGACAAGAATTTGGTTTCGTCTTCAACACGATGCACGGTCCGCTGGGACTACTGTTGCAAAAGTACCAAACATCTGATATTAATAACCTGGATTACCTTATTGATCAACCCATCTGTTTTCCCGTCCCCCATCTGGCTAGGGACTTTGGCTGATGTGTTTGTAACCTCTATCAATAACTGATTATTGGCTGGAAGATGAAACCTGGAAAGTCTGGAAATAACTGCTTTCCATGTGTCAGTCATAGCATCAGCATCTAAAGCACCCCCGGCTTCAGCATGGGATACATCTCGGACGCAAAGCATAATCGTAGCGACTTGTGCACATGATATCACGCGGCTAAGAGTTCACTCGGCCGGAATGACGGTCTGTGGTCACGTGCCAACACGTTGGCGACGCAGCATTCTTAAAAGGGAATGAGTAAGCCTGCTGGCAATTGTAGTGATCCATATCAGTGGCTGGCACTTAAATGATCAATCACTTGCCGACATAACAGCCGTAAAGCTACTATGGTCGACAGGTGTATGTTAAGGGCTGAGTAATCCAAAGACAAGAAATGGAAAGAGTCAGGATAAGTGGTCAACTAAATCTTGCAGGAGTCATGTGGAAGGCGCCAGGAAGGCAGGCGGTGGGGCGGCGCAATATGATGCGGCATCACATGTCAGAGCGATCGAATTGGGTTGTGAAGGCGGAAAAGAGTTAAAAGTTATTAGTGATTATTATGCTGAGTTGCTTGGGACAATGGAGTAATTAGGCGCCGAGCAGGATTGGATTCAGTAGTTTCCACGATCAGATGGTGAGACGAGTCATGATTCATGGGCTGAACGTGAAAATCCACGGCCGACTTCCGAGTCGCGTGCATGTGACGAGAAAAAACCCTCTGGCAAGTGCCGGAACAGACATCGATCGTAAGAGGTACATGTGGATGTGAAGACAGTATGACAATGTTGTAACACCCTGGTAGTCAGTAAGGAATGGAATAAATCATTGAAACGCTCAGTACCAACAACTAACTACTACTTAGTGACGGAGTAAGTAAGTGGAGGAAAGAAAGTACTACTAAGCAAACTGCGCGGGGGAAGAATTTCCCATTGCGGGATTGATTGCACGTGAAAGTGCCCCAACCTCAGCCAGAAAGCAGCAATCAATTATCCCATCGCAACCCAGAACAACTTCCGACAAGGGATCTTCGTCCCTCCTCCCACACCCCATTGCCATCCGATCTTACTCCTCAATTCTCATTCTCCCCTTACACCCACTAGAGCCAATTTCAGGCTCCATCCATTACCCTCTTTCCTTTTTCGGGCCTCCGGGCAGCCATGGACCACCGCTCCAACGGCAGGTCGGTCCCGAAAACCTCCCTCTCTGCGCGCCCAGACGCCGTCTCTGCGCCCACTGGCCCTCCTCATACTTCAGCGCTATCTACGGCCTCGCCCTCAACAACCGACTCCTCATCTGACTCCGCCCCTCCCACTGCCTATCCCCCTTTTCATCATGTTCCTCCCCCCATGATGGACGTCGATCACTCTACCGTAGCGGACGACCGTTCACGTCGAGCCACCAGTGTACTATCCATGGATGATATCGAAGCCGCCCAAGCCCTGGAGGGCCTTCGCACTGGTATGTCCTTTTCCTTCCTTGCCCTTGGCCTGTCCAGGTCGAGTTTTAACAGTTGATGGTACTAGACTACGGTCAATCACCGCGAACGTCGCAAATGAATCGCCCCGAATCCAAGCAGCAACCAGAGCCGTTGCTATCTCTTCTCACCTCCACCCATCCCCTCATCTCGTCCGCTATCAACGGCTCTGTGTCGGCATATACCAATTCTAAATCCTATTCCCCTCGTTTCAAGTCAAGCGCCGAATTCCTCGAGCGCAACATCGGCTCTCCCGTCGCCAACACCGTTGGCACTGTAGGCCGGAAGACTGGCGTGGAAAGTGGCCTTCGGTGGGCTTTACAGCGTCGGGTATCCTCGTCCGCCCAGTCTAGTCGCTCTAAACGCCGTAAGGTGAGCAACGAGCAACAGTCTACGGAGGTCGACGTAGAGAAGGGTCCAGAACTGGCGATGAGGCTGTCGCCGGGAGAGGGTCCTCCACCCTACGATGATCATAGGTCTCCCAATTATGACGACATCAATCGAGACAGTCCATCGCGGCAGACTCCGTCCACATGGCAGAGCCGACTGATGATATCGACTTCCGGTCTGGGCGTGGCGATGAGTGAGGAATCGCTCCGGAGCCTGCAGTATTGTCTGACCTGGCTACGCTGGGCAAATGGACGGCTGGACAAAGCGATCGAGGCTCTCAAGGCCGCCCTGAAAGAATGGGATAGCTCGAGACAGCAGAATGGTGACTCTACTGCAGAGCAGGACGCTTCCAGCACTACCCTCCTCTCGAATCGGATCCAAGCCGTCAAGGCGGATGTGCTCGCGACGCTGAAACGCGTGGTGGACATTGTCTCGAAATATGCCGGGGGAGCGCTCCCGGAGAATGCGCGGAACTTGGTGCGTCGGCATCTGACCTCCCTGCCGCATCGGTTCCAGATCGCGTCAACCTCCAACCCGCCGCCGGACTCCATGGCGGCGGCATCCGACGCCACCGTTAGCGCCCATCGGATCCTCGTCTTGGCCCAGGAGGGCTTGGACATGATGTCGCAGGTTAGCGGTGTAGTCAATGACACCCTGGTCAGCGCTGAGCACTGGTGTGAGAAATTGGGTCGGAAGCGCTCAGAGGGCAAAGCGCCGATCGAGGCTCCACCCCGAGAGCAGGATGAGCCGTACCCGGCGGACATCAAGGCCCCAATTCAGGAGCCATCCCCTCAAGATGTCTCTATGACAGGAATGGAGAAGGCTTAGTGGTGCTTGCTATCAGCGCTCGGCGCCGTGCGAGCAGGTCACTGCCTGGTGCTATTTAGCCAGTCTGACGAATGACAGTCCTTCACTTATTAAATGAGGATTGATTTCCCTTCCTTACAACCTGTTTCTTTGTTGTTCTTATTGGTCACTGTATCGCATTTAGTTCTGCAATCTGCAGCTTGACCGCTCCTTCATGTCACTATTTTCCCTTTCCTGTGCGGCGGATGAATGGCGTTTCTCTTGTTTGACTGGCTGGCGGTTGGGCTGGAATTGGATACCTGGATTGTTTGCTGAATCCAACCTGGTGCATCTCTCTTCCCTGTGATACCACCTTTTTTCTATGAACCTACACAGTACAATGATGGCTCCAGTGATGAAAAGTTCATGACTTGAATCTGCTTTATTCCTCTCATGCACCGACTTGAATTGGAGCTCTCCGATGCCCGTTTGGTTGGATGTAACGGTCCGGGAATCGGCTGACTCCCAGTGTGAGCGTTTGTGCTAGCGAATAGTTGATTCTGAGTATGCATGCTTATTGCGATTACAAATGAATCTCGTAGAGTACCCTGACTAGACTGTAGTGTATACACTAAGTAGTAGTCTGCACAAAGTACCAAGTTACATCGGAAAGAATGCCGAGCGGGATCCACCAACCAACTTTTTATCTCCGATAAACACCATCATTTCATCCCTCGACTAGAACAGAACTTCCACACCATCTAACCACCACCAATCCACTACACCACACCACACCATCACAATGCGCTAACACCCCAACAACAACCGCAGTCCTCACCATGTCACTGCCCACATCCACCACCCCCAATGGCGCCCCCGCGCCCTCAGACCCAAGCGCATCATCAAACGCCGCCGCCGCCGCGACCAACACCAATAACATGGACGAGAAACCCCCCTCACCACCACTGGAATCCGCACCCCAGGCGCAACCCTCCGAACCCACCCTCCACCCCATCTCCCACAAACTCACTCAGTTCTACACCATCTCCTACCTAATCTTCTTCGCCATCTTCGGCACTCTCGCCCGTCTCGGCCTGCAAGCCCTAACCTTCTACCCAGGCGCCCCCATAGTCACCGGCGTCCTCTGGGCTAATGTCGGCGGTTCCCTGCTGATGGGATTCTTTCAGGAGGATCGGAGACTGTTTCGTGAGGAGTGGGGCAAGCCCAATAACAACAACAATAATAACAATACAAGTGATGCCGCCGAGCAGGCAAAGCAACATAAAACCGTCAAGAAGACTATACCGCTGTATATCGGTCTCACGACGGGGTTCTGCGGGTGTTTCACATCCTTCTCGTCGTTTATTCGCGATGTGTTTCTCGCGTTGACGAATGATTTGCCCAATCCTTCCTCTGAGGGAAATATTGTGTCGAGGAATGGAGGGTACAGTTTCATGGCTCTGGTTGCTGTGATTCTCAGTACGGTTTCGCTGAGTCTATGTGCTTTGTTGTTCGGGACGCATCTTGCTACCGCGCTAGATGGGGTTACTCCTACGGTTCCGTTTCGGTTTACGAGACGGGTTTTGGATCCCGTTATGGCGGTGCTGGGTTGGGGGTGTTGGCTTGGCGCGGTGTTTTTGGCGATTTGGCCTCCGGATCGACATGACGCGAAGGGAATGGAGGTATGGCGTGGTCGGGCGGTGTTTGCGATTGTGTTTGCCCCGTTGGGGTGTTTTCTGCGGTTTTATGTGTCTTTGTTGCTCAATGCCAGGGTGCCGAGTTTTCCCTTGGGGACTTTTGCGGTGAATGTCGTTGGGACGGTGGTGTTGGCTATGTGTTTTGATTTGCAGCATGTCGCGGGGATTGGAGGCGGGGTGTTGACTGCGTGTCAGGTTTTGCAGGGGGTTATGGATGGGTTTTGTGGGTCGGCGACGACGATTAGTACTTGGGTCGCGGAGTTGAGTGCCCTTGGGGCTGTGGGAGGGAGGAAGAGATGGGCGGCGTATGTTTATGGGGTGGTTAGTGTGGGTGTTGCGTTGGGGTTTGTGGTTGTTATTGTGGGTTCGTTGGGGTGGACGAGGGGGTTTGATGGGCCGGTTTGTGGGTAGAGGTGTAGGTGTAGGTTGTAGTAATGTATATAATATAGTATAATGTAGTATAGTATATAGTATAGTGTAGATGATATATGTGTAATGTATAGTATGTCTTTGGTTTCATTAATCATGGAGTCATTTCAGTGTAGCGCTACTTCTTCATGTCTTACCAGCACGCGCTGGTTTGCCTGCCTCTTCGGAGCGTTGTAGATGGCGGTTCCTGTGCATCGCCATGGGGTATCCGAGCAGGTCCCTTTTCAGGGCATTGCGATGCAATATCCAGTTCAGGCTTCCATGCTCCAGCGGCGCCTGATATGCAGTGGCCTATCACTGCAACGTTGCTATCGCGGGATTCGCTGCTCAATCAGCTATTGTGATCGTAGTCAGTTGAATGTGTATCATCACTTCACATCCATCTCATCGCCCTCTCGGCCCCCCGACACAGAAGCAGGGCCCTTATCCTTCCCCTGCCCTTGCTGCTGCCCCTGCTGCTCCCCCGTCGGAAAACTGAGATACTTCCAATCCTCAATCTCCTCGATAATACACTTCAAGCGATCCCGAATACTCTCCACCGCATATGTCCCCAAGATCAACCTCAACGGCGGATACGAACAATGCCCCAACTGCCACACCAAATGCGCTGCCTTAACCGCACTCGCCGGCTGCTTATCCCCCAACCACATAAGCATGCGCTTCGCATGCGCCGCCGGCGACGTAGGCGTATTATACGGCTCACTCGGCGGCTTGACCAAGAAATGGCCATAAAGTGGTAACGGCGACCCCAGCGCCAACTTATTGGCATTATCCTGCTCTTCGTCCACGCCATACTCACCACCGCCAAAGATACTCTCTTCTCCACCTCCCACCAAATCCCCCACATCATCGCGTCTCATATGCCCCGGTTCCACGAGCGTCGTCTTAATATTGAACTGATCCACCTCATAGAGCATACTCTCCATCAAGCCCTCAACCGCATACTTGCTCGCACAGTACGGCCCCAATCCCGGCACTCCCAGAGCCCCCGACGTAGAACTGAAGATCAAGTACCGCCCGGCCCCGCGCTCCCGAAAGTGCGGCAACGACAACTGAATCATATTCAGCGTGCCTGTAAAATTCGTCTCGAACTGGTCCCGGATATCGTATTCATCTTGGTCCTCGCATGCCCCGATTACACCGTACCCGGAGCAATTGGCGATGATGTCTATGCGCCCGAAGCGCGCGATCGTGGCGTCGATGACGCGTTGGACGGTGGGGCGCGCTCGCACGTCGCAAAGTAGTCCGAGGCATTTGTTGGGGTGTTCTTCTTCGAGCTTGGACATGGCTGCCGGGGTGGTTTCGAAGGTGCGGCCTACTGCGCTGACGAGGTCATTTCGCGATAGAGCCGTTTTGACGAGTGACCGGCCCATGTGGCCTGTTGCGCCGAAGATGAGCCATACGAGGGGCTTCGGGGGGTTCGAGGGGCCCGGGGGGTCGGTGGTCGAGGGGAGTTGGAGCTTGGGTTCGCGGGTTGATGTGGTTGCGGATGCGGTTGGGGAGACGGCCGATCCGGGGTTCTTGGTGTGGTTGTGGGGGGAAGTGTAGAAGTCCATTGTTGTGTTGTATGTTGGGTGTGGAAGAGGAGGGTTGTAGCCCGCGCCGCTTGGGCTGTGAGGTGAGATTGGGGCGTGTGCCCGATTAGAGTGAGGTGTAGGAGTGACTGGAGTGGGTTGAGATTGGAATTGAGGTGAAGCTGTCGGGGATTCAAGACTCCCGAACTACTTAGATTTACTCCGCACTGCCAGGTCCGGGGAAGTCACGTGGGGGTCACACGTGCGTCTACCAATGCGACTTACAATACAGTTCTGCTTTGAAGATGTACATAGTGGATAATCTAATAGTGAATTTGCACTCTAGCATTATCTAGATCATGAAATTGTAGTGGCTAGCCTCTTAATGCTTGTCGGCTGCGTATCTGGGACTCCGACGCAGTCGCTTTGCGGGAGGTTCAGCATCACGGTCAGCACCAACAATGGCCCAATTCTCATCGTCCTCCGGGGACGAAACACGCTCCGTGGGTTTCTGGGTCTCGTCTGACTGCTGCTGTTGTTTCCGGGGGTGATACAAGGAAATAGTGAACAGCTCGAAGTTCTTCGTGGTATCATCCTCGTCTTTGGCGGAATCCTCGGACGCCTGTTTCTCCGCGGCCTCCTTGGAAGTATTGGTGGAGGGGGCATCTTGGGGCTTGGAGAAGAGACGGGAGAAGATTGATGCTTGACCGCCACTCTCAGCCGAATCCTTTGGTTCCTTATTCTCCGCAGTCGTCTCCTCTTCCTCGTCTTCTTCCGCATCGCTAAACTCCCACATCTCGTGGGTTTCCTTTCTCACCAATGCGGTCACCCACAGAGAGATCAGGACCCCAGGTACCAGGTACAGGAGCGCAGGCTGGGGATGATCAAATACCTGCATTACGATCAACGTCGCAAGCATACCTAGAACATAACCAACCAGGCTGGCGGTGAAATATGGCTTAGGGAAAGATCGGGCATTGTGGTAGGGAGGATCCAGCTGCGGCTTGCTTGGCGCCACGGAACGGGTCCAGAAACGTTCTCCCCATCCTCCTAGCGCAGACTGATATACAGGCTTGACTATTTCCGAGCCCTTGCCCTCTGCTAGCGCCTTTTGCTGGCCCTTGCGCTTGTAGTATAGGTAAAGATCGAACCGGAGTGCCAGACCTACCATCATGCCGGGAATGATGATGTCGCCCAAGCCCAGCATGGCAAGGGAGATGGTATCGGGTGCCTCCCCAGGCGCTGCAGGGCGCGGAAACAGGAGCTTGATCGGGACGTCTAAGGTCTTTGCAACCGTCACCATCAGTGGCGTGAAATAGACAAAGTAGATGTCATAGAAGAACAGAGATCCCAGGATCAGCGATCCGGTGATGAAAGTAGATGGTGACATAAATTGCAGGGTACCATAGCAGAAACTGAATCCCAGGAAATTAGTCAACCACCATGGTTTGGACACGAAAGTGAAGTAACCAATCGTAGGGAATGATACAGCTATGCTGATAATGTCCAAGATACTAAGCCAACATTCGGTGCGGAAAACACGATGTATATGGATCCTAAGCTTAGCGCGCCAATATACAATTTCACGGCAAGTCCAGAGTGCTGCGCGAGCGGTATGTGGCAATGGGATTGACCCCCAGAACCCAGGAAGGGGAGAGTTCCGGATCTCCACCTCCGAAGACTCCGATTTAGAGGTATCCTCCGAAGCGTTTTTAAAAATGCGTTGGGTGGACTTGGTCTTCCAAACTTTTCCAGAGCTGCTGTACTCGCGGGGAAAGACAAATGATCTCACGACAGCGAAGGAGTCTTTCAGGAAAGCTATAGCAAAGAGCATACCCATCTGGGAGAAATAGTAGCCAAGTATCTTATTCAGAAGTTCAGCGCCCATGTGCTTGATGACCAGATACAAGCCTCCGAGGGTTAAGCCAGCTGTCAGGGGAAACATCAATGCGTCACTTGGTGCAAGTCCCTCCATCTTCTGAATACCACCAGCTTCCTCTTCTGATTCGTCTCCATCTTCGTCCGACTTCTCGGGTTTTGCGGCCGATGACGGTCTCGACAGGGATGCATGGGCGCCAATGTAGATGGGGAAGAGGGCGGAGACAAGCAGATGACCGTAAGTTGGTAGCAAAGGTTTGATCTGTGTGAAGTGATATATGGCCTGGCCCAGAAGCTCGGCAATGGGGCTGACCTCGTCCATTGCTGCGAAGATCTCAAGTTTGTTGCTAGCGTTGAAAGCAAGAATGGTGTGAAGACGATGATGCAAAAAGGGATTAGTCCATGGCGCAGTGTCGCAGACTTTCGATAATAATATAGGTTTTGTGATGGATGTAGTCACCGTAGGGTCGGTCGGGTGACTCCGTCAAATAGACGGATATTGTTGCTGTGCCCGTTAGTGTTGGTGGGTTTGGTGATCTGTTGTTGATGGTGCCTGGTTGCCAGTGACGTGAGCGGGTATCTGCACGTGATGATAGGGCAGTCACGTGGCATAGCATGGAATAGCAGTTATCTATGGACTACTTAACTATCGATTCATTTTTATTTAGGTCAGTAACACGCCTGCAGCAGTAGTCCTTTCTCGAGGGTTTCCAATCTACTTTTTCTCTGTTTTTTTGAGCATCAGCATGGAGGACTAGAATGCTGCGGCAGACCGGCCCTGTTGGCTGGACCGATCCATATTCGAATGATGTATCATGTAGGGGACGCACATCACGGGCATCAGTGGACCGAACCAGAACATTGTTAACGTTCAATAGTTGTCCCCTCGTCCCCGCAGCTGTCCAGACTGATCCTGATTCAATTATTTAGATAAGGCATACTTGCGGCTTGCGCCCAACGCCTGATGGTCCGAGCGGTAAATAAAAGATGGTTTCCGACTGTATATATATATACACTGCCCACACATGTGATTCCAGGACTATCGAATCGGCAGTACAACTGAAATCTAAATACAGGTAGCAAGATATTACTAGGATACAATGATTGCATTAGAGGGGCTAGTGGGACAAGCATCACTAGTCGTAAGGTTTCATCGAGCGTGTCTGAGATCCCCCCGCCTCCAGTGGTACTAGAGTAGTAGTACAACCCGCATATCATGACTTTGCTCATGAACTCGACTTTGTTCCAGCTTGACACAAAGGACTATACCTTATTATATGCCATCCGGCCAGGCCAGATGGTTGAACATGTACAGTAAGCTTTCAAGGAAGCCGGTACCTACAAAGGCGAACCAGTGGACAGGAAAACTCGCTCTGCATCCGCCTGCGAGCGTCGTCTTCCCAAGGACTAAAGCGCATCAATTGTGACTCAAAAACAGGTTTTAAACCAAGTCCACGGCGTTATCTGTCCATTGATCGATGTCCTCACTGTCTCACCATGCAGACGGACTCTCCCCACCATCCTTCCTCCTCAATGAGGCCGAATGCTGGAAAAGCCGCAGCTGCATCGCTGCCATACACGCATATGCGACATGCAGAAACCATTCGCCCTGTTGGCTTGAACGTCCTTGGGTCAGCCGAACAGCCTGTCCCTCTCTAACTTGCTCAACCCAATTAGTTCCACGGCTTGCGAAGTTGTCTCACCGCAGGGGTAGACGTTCTGGCGAGGTGGCACCCTTGATGAATACAAATATACCGTCCTCCCCTCAGGACTTCGTCTGACAACGTTGTCAAGTCTCTTCAGTTGTCTATCTCAAGCAATTCCCATTCTACTTCATCTCAGCCTCCTTGTCTCGCATTGTTAGCGTATTAAGTATGGCTCCTCTGCAGAAAGTGATCGTGGTCTACGGTGCCACTGGTGAGTCAGGCTGGCAGCGTCATCTGCCATGTGTACAAGACTAACACTACCCAGGTGTCCAGGGGCGATCTGTCGCCCTCTCCCTCCTCAAGAGCCAGCAGAACTTCGCCATCCGGGCACTAACTCGGAACCCCCAGTCGGAAAAGGCGAAGGAATTGGCCCGGCTAGGGGCTGAGGTGGTCAAGGCTGATGGATTCAACGATAACGACATGCAGAATGCCCTGTCTGGCGCCTGGGGATTCTGGCTCAACACCCACCACCATGACCCAGTAAGTGGCCTTCATGATTACGAAGATACCACACACCGTGAACCACATGCTGATCGCCTTTCAGGCGGTAACGCAACCCGGTGGCCCGACTGACGAAGATCTCGGCAACCGCCTCATCGAGATTGCGGCCAAGGCAGGCGTGAAGGTCTTCATTTACAGTACCTGCGAGTCTCCTGCGATATTCACCAAAGGCGTCGCGCCCGTTCCGGGCATGGATGGTATGTTCGCCTTCGATTTCTTCCTCTCACGTCTGACTTTCGCTCCCTACAGCCAAACACCGATGTGAGCTGTATGCTCGAACCTTCAAGGAATTCGACGCCGTCATTGGCGCTTTCCCCGGGTGGTACTTTGAGAACTATGTCACTCCCGAGTATGCGCAGGCCTTCGGTGGCTTCCCTATGTTCCCAGACGACGAGGGCTACCTGACCTGGCACGCTCCCTTGGTAGGCGGCGAAGGCAAGGTCCAAACGGTCTCCATTGAGGATGATTTTGGTGAGATGGTGCACGGAATGTTCCTGAACCCGCTGAAGTGGAAAAATAAGACCATTCAGTGCGTGAGTGATGCGTTCACATATGAGGATATGGTGAAGACGTTCACTGAGGGTAAGTTTCCGATTCGACTTATTCTGGGAGTTGCTGACTGGTGTCGCAGTCACGGGGAAGAAAGCTCGCTATGTTCCCATGGCATCGGCAGATGATCTCCCAACCCATGGTAGCACTGTCCTCATTGAGTTGCAGGACGTCTTCAAATACACCCAGAACAACAATGGCTGGTTCTTCGGCAACCCCGACGACTTCGCAACCTGCCAGTCACTCAAGGACGAGGCCCGCCGGGATAAGGGTCTTGAGCCGGAGCCGGTCATTTCCATGACCAAGTACTTCATCAAGCACTATGGACCCAACTAAACCGGAAGGATTGGGGGCAAGATGCAGCGCTGTTTCAACTTGCTAGAGAGACGTTTATGTGCAACATCAAAAATAGCGAATATCAGAACAAACGACTCTTTCCATTCTTTCTCAGTTCACAGTGCGAGACGTAATAGTAAACTAGCATTTTCTATGGGTAAAATGCATCATAA